ACAAAGCAGACAAAACACAGATACATCCAGATTACCTGGTCCCACCAGCCGACCAGCCATGGTTTTGCACAGGTCTCACAGAAAAAATCCACTAAGGGCATCTTCTGTTCTTGGCCAGTGAGCAGCAAGAGCTCTCTGGGTTGCCCACCAAGGTGGTATTCCCTCTCTCCAGACGAGTGGCTGATTAGTGGTGTCCCCTTTCCTTGATGTTGGCAGGAAAGGCAGGGGTTAATTTCTCAAAGCTGTTCTTTCCACATGCAGGTTTGGGCCTGGCATGGCTCTTGCTGGCCAACCTGCCTTGCACGAGAACCCTCACATCTCTGTTGCTCCTCCTCTGGTCCTCCCCACCAGGGGGCCGTGGCTCAAGAAGATGTGCCAGATAGGCCCAAACTTGAAAGCCCCACGTCTCTGGCTATGTTGCAGAGGAGGAGGCGAATACCCACAGTGCAAAGCTGCTCTGGCTATGAGCAAACACAATCCTCCTCAGCTGTCTGGACAATATGCCTCCCTCTCCTTCTCCTCCGGTCACATCTTCAGAAGAAAAAGTCCAGCAGCAGCTCAGGAAGACAGAAGAAAGAGGCAAAAACGGCAGCAGGCAGTCACTGCATGGAAGAACGGTTTCACCCAGGTGGAGCAGGAGGGAGATTCCCAGCCATTTCTGGGTACCACATGGCATACATCCAGCTAGCAAGACAGACGCTGCATTGCTGAAAGGCACGTCCCCATCATCTCTTTGGTGTGCGTTTGAGGGCAGCGGTCACCACGGAGACGGTAACTCCTAGTATGGCCTCAGCTGCAGCTTCGTTCCCTGGCTTGGCATGCATGTGTGTGTGTCTGCTTGTGTGTGTGTGTGAATGCACGTTTCTCTCACTGCAGCAATGGGTGGATGGGATATGATGTCAGGTGGCGATGAGTGAGAGAGGGATAGAGAGAGAAGAAAGGGAGTGGAAGTGAGGGAGGGAAGAGGAGGGGCAGGAGAGAGGAGGTGGTTAAAGGCGCACAGAAACAAGAGCTGGCCAAACAACGAGGAGGCGAACAAATGGAAGGGAAAAGAGGGAGGGGGAAGGTCGCCCTGCAAGGATTTAAATTAACCAAATTCTAAAGCTCAGGGCCTCCAGAGGCCAGAACCGTTGTAGGACTCCAGCCTCCTCCCCACAACACCCCGCAGATGGTGACCGAGGACCCAGCTCTTCTTGCCCTAGGAGGAAATGGATGGACAGGAGACATAAGGGGACAGATTTAGTGTTCTGGGGAGCTGCCTCTCAATCAGGCATTCCTTACGCCCGGGACTGGGAACGGAAGCCGGGTGATGAAAAGACTGGGAAGCAAGAGGCCATGTCTCTCCCTCCCTAACTCTGCAACCCAAGTGGGGACGGCATGGATCTGAGCAAAAGGCAAGGGCTCATTGCCAGGCATATATGCCTCTGCTTACTGATTCTGACCAGGAGCCACCAGACCAACCATTAGCAGTATTATTTCCAGGTTTAAAAAGACATGGCTCCAATGATCTCAAGCTGGAGTGATGAAGAAAAGATGGTAGGAAAGAGCTAAGAGTTTCTGTCCAGATCACATTTATGGAAGTCACAGGGATGAGGGTTGTAGCCAACAAGTACATGCATGCTATGTTTACACAACCACTGTGCTGTCAACACTTAGATATATTCTTCCTATATATATTAAAAATGCTATGCCACGGAATGGAATGCACAGACCAGCTGGTTTGACCAACTACTGGTTTGGGATTTTGTTTCTCAGAAGTATCCAGTGCTAAATTTTTTGTGACCAAAAAGAAACTGCCACAGCATCCAAAGAGCATTATACATTCCCCTTTCTTTGGAAACAATTGGTGTTACTCAACAAAACAAGAGTTGAAAGAATTTCACACCCAGAGAGGCCAATGTCTGATCTAGATGGAATTTTACATCTGGAGTACAGTAGATGGGCTTCAGCATCCCTGCATGTAAATACTTGCTGCCCTATTCACACATGTACCATAATGACCCCTCCAGCCCATCAAAGAACCACATGGCAGTACTAACAGGAAGGAGCTTTTACATTTAAGCAACGCTGAAGCAAAGGAACCATCTGCCATCAATTGCCTCATCACACCCTGCCATCAGGGTTCCATGAGTGGGACATGGCCACCTGAACATCACAGAGCACAGAGGTAGGACATGATGCCTTTCAAAGGGATAATGCTGCTCTCTCATTCTGCAGTTTCTGATTACAGAACACCTCCTTCCAGCTTCCCAAGGCCCATCTTACTGGGACTTTGCACAACAAATCCATGACTTGCTTGCATATTCCCATTGAGCAAAAGTGGGTAAAGGGCACCCCTCACCCCAAAAACATCACAAGAGAGCAAAATCAATATTCCCTGCCCTAAAATATTACTCAGATTCTTCTTGCACCCCCAACCTGCTTTCCCCCACTGCTTGGCTGGTCCAGACCATCTTTCTCTCTTTCTCACTTGCTTAACCAAAAGCAGCCTCTACTTATATGACATGCTTATTTTATTTCAACATAAATATGCCAGCAGGAATAAAATGCTGGTTCTCTCAAACTCAGGCATGAATCTGGGTAGGGAGGCAGGAACCTAAACTTATTTTTGTGTAACTCCTTAATTACAACCAGCCCAGAGCATTTTGCTGCCCTGAATAAGCACACCATGCGGTCCAAGAGAATCATCCTAAAGGCCACTGCAAATTTACAAAAAGGATGCCAGAAAATAACTTTCTGACTGGGGAAGCATGTACTAAAAATCTAGGTGATAATCGCAAGGCACACTTCTTGTTTTGCACTATGCCTTTTTGATATCTCTGGCTACTAATAACATTGGTCAGATCCTAAACAAACCCAGAATTAATTAATTAATTAATTAATTAATTAATTAAATGACTATCCTTGGCTGCTGGGAGGTATTTTCTTCAAGGCTTATGTTCTCAAAGCCAGGAAAGACAGCAGGAACAAAATAAGAGGAGGAGGCATAGCTAACATAGGAAAACAAACCATTAGTCAGAAGAGGATACCAGGATTGTTGATTTAAACTTTAAAAAAAAGGAGTGGCGGCTTTGCCGGAAGTTAAGATGAGGTACTCATCACAGGCAGATCTTGGGCATTAATGAGGGAGGCAGTGTAGGAAGTAGGAACAATGTTTTGGGGAAGGTTTTTTTTTTTAAGCTGCATGTAAGCTGTGTAGAGGAACTTTCCAAAGAATCATGATCCTTATTTAGAAAGTGAAAATTTTCCCAACATGAGATCCTTCAGATGTATTGGGAATTGCAAGTCCACAGATTCCAAAAAAACATGGAACAAGAATTCTAGTTTCAATCTCAATATATCCGGAAAGGTCCAAGTTGGAAAAGGAGGGGACAGCTATTCTAAGGAATAATGCTCCAGCAGAGAAACCATTTAAAATGGCAGATGTAGAGGATACAGAGAGAGCCTTGAAGAAAATATGTGGCAGCTGTCACAAAAACATCAGTTTAGCTCAGAAAGACAGGAGCAGGTGAGGAAGAAACTCAAAATCAGTCTGCTTTGATTCTGTTTAGTATAAGAGGGAGGGAAAGACAAACTCTGTCAGACTTTTAAGACTCTGTTATTATAGCCTATATCAACAGTGTTCTAGTATTTCTTGTGGTCTCTGTTTCCTGACCTGGTCTACCTTGAAGGGCTGGCAACAGACTGGGATATTCAGTGGCAAGTTATACTAATTTATCATTTGTAGAGCAAAGCTAACACCCTGCCCTGTTAGGTAGGTCTGTCTGAGACTCGCTGGCAGGTATCACTCTTACCTGGATGGAGTGGCAATACAGTAAGAGCTCACTTAGATCTGTTTAAACTAAGCTAGCTATAAGTTTAAAGGCTTAAAGGTGGCAAGCACCTTCTGGGGTAATTTATTTAACTTCAAGATTAAACTAAATCTAAAATATACAAGTTTTTCTAGGTCCTTATTTTTCCTAGAAGGAAAACATGTTGCTTCAAAGTAAGAGTCATCATACCCCACAACAAGGCTAGAAACTTCTGTTTTATTTCAGAATTATGAATCATCTCTAGGTAAGGGTGCCTGCCACCTTTGGACTTTGAATGATGTACTAATGACCAAAAAGAGAACGCTGGTAGGACAAAAGATAACTTTTATTTATTTAATTCACATTCATTAAAATAAAAATGAATTAATATGTGCAATGTCATTAAAAATTTACAATTCTGTGGCCACTGTTCATCAAATTTAAACCATCTTACAAGTCCTCAGAGAGACATCTAGACAGAGATTTTGAAAAAGAGTTGTAATTTCCAGCAGATGAACCACAGTGGCTATCAATTTCACTTAGAAGTATGAACTTTTATTCACAAACTCAATTCCCAAATGATAAAGAACAAATCACTATACTTCTGTAACTCCTGAACCCAAGGCAACCAGATCCTATAAGTGTTTTCAGAAACAATAGTGAGGGGACAAAAGCAGTATTACACTTACAGACAAGTATCTTTGTATAGAAATGTATTTCCCTGTCTTTCTGATGCTCAGGCTGTGAGCATGTTATGGCTTACACAGCAGAAATAAACCACCCAGACAAAATCAACAGGTTTAGGGAAATCTTGAGATTTGCAAAAGTGTAACAAATGTTTGGAAGGGAAAGCTGACAAAAAGGAACCTCCAAAATGTAAAAAAACATAAACTTAGCTGCCACAGATGCTGACTGATTACTGGAGAACAGAGCATAAGAGAAAGTCGAAGGGTGGGGAAATGGACTGAAATATTACAGAGAAAGATATGGGTCAGCAGGCATTCCACAGTGCAATATTTTGGCTTTGTAACACATATAATATATTATCTGCTGTAATATACAGACTATAACTATCAAAGAGAAGACAAATATGGACTGTATACATTCAAAGTTGATAGATGTCTGGGTGGAGCTGATAACAGACAACATATTGACACCGTCCTGGATGCCACAGTGCACTTGCTGCATCTGCTGAACACTCTTCCTTACCTTGTTAGATGCCATCTCACTGACAGAGCGATAGGTCTGAATGGTCTCTAACTGGTCAAGACACCAGTCTAGCTCTTCCAAGGTCTCTCTGGCTAGTTGCTGGTAAGTCTCTTCTGCAGATGAAGTGGGGGAAGAAACCAAAGCATATTAGGTTCAAGTGATCTTTCGAGCATTCCAAAAAGAACTGATTAACCAGGAATATCCCCTTGTACAATCTGCTCAACTTCCTAGCTAAAAGCATGTGAAGATCAGATTCACTGAGATGATGCACAACTAAGTAGACAATGATGCCCAGAAGAGCATTTTTAGAAGGCAGGCATGGTCTCAAAGCTATCCGGCAAAGCCTGTGACCAACCAATTATCACCAGGGGGCTGGTATATTTTCTATTTTTGCAGCCTTCTTTAGGTTGCAAAAACCACACAGGGAAAGGTGAGTGACAATTGAAATACCTATCAAGACACAAATACTGAGTCAGTCACAGGTGGTACATGGCTGGTTTAAGAACAATACATATGGAACTGGGACTAAAGTTCTGTATCCAAGACTTCAGGACTGGCCCAAGACAATTTTCTTCCTGAGATGGAGCAGCAAATGGCACACCATGCCCTATTAAATCAAGACGCAAGTTATTTGGGAAGTTCAGGCACAAGATTCCACAAGCACCTCTTCCCAACCATAGAGTGGTGGCACAAAAATCTGCTGATTTAAGGCAGCCACTTCTCTCTACTTAATAGTAGAACCAATCCTACAAGGCTCATATTCTCCCATAGTATCTTCTTTGTTTTCTCCCCTCTTCCATGTATTCAGCTGCTCCTTATTAAAATGTACACAACTGGTTAAGATTTGGCTGCAGGGATGACTATCTCCATCAATCTGCTGAAAACTATTTATTAGTTGCACTATCCCAACTTTTTAAAGCAACATTTCCTTATCACAGCTCCCTCAACAGCCTTATCAAGTACAGCAAGATATTTCCCATTTAGGAGACAAGGAATTTACATCCTCTGTAGACAGGAGAACAAATGAGGGACACAGGAAGTCATGCACTTGCCATTGTTTACACTTTGGAATATGTCTGCTAAGTACATTTGCATTTTATCCCTTTTGGAGATCAGCAACCAGTACCTACAGTGCAAACTTCTGGAGGTGGAGCTGTACAAAGTTTCCTGATGGTTGTGATGGAGTAATACTGCACAAATAATAGAAAGTCTAACAAACTTGTGCTTCCCATTTTCACTCTATTATCATGTCCAAGAGAGCTCTGAAGTTTAATGAGTACAGAATAGAAAAGTGTCAAAGAACTCCATAACTGAGCTAATTTCTCAAGGATCCAGGATTGGACCACAAATAGAGGTACCAGCACTGAGGCACAATCAGGCAATGCTTCGTACTGGGGTAGGCCTGTTATAGTCTGCTACCTGTTTATAGCAACAGGTGTGGGAGAAACATGCTGATTTCCACACATATGACCTGTTTTATTGGAAGCAAGGGGAAGAGGATCTCAGCAAATATGGGAAGCAGAACTGAATACTGTTGTACAGAGGGCAGAACAATAATTGAAATATGTGGGATAGTTTAAGATAACCTTCCCTTATTTGCCTCTACAACTGGTTCTCCCAGTTCACATGGGTCACCTAGGTAGGGTGGATTGTTCTGGGACAGTATATTCTCTATATGAGGAAGGGATGATGATGATGATGATGAGGAGGAGGAGGAGGAGGAGGAGGAGGAGGAGGAGGAGGAGG